ATCCTACGCACTTACGGCAGCTTGGCGAACGGCATGCGGGTTGCATTTTAAAGAGTGCTCATACCCCGTGCGCCAAATTTATCCGGACCTTGGCACCCACAGACACCAAAACTCTGTGCACGCACACCGCAGGTATGCGCCGGGTGAGCTTAGCAACGCCTCTGAGCCTGCTGCCAACTCCAGGTCGCCAGGCGTTCAGCCTAACCAAATAGCATCGTGGGCAGAGCACTTGCCACCCAAGCTCACATCCGAACGCGTGTCGAGACTTTCGAGTAATACTTGGGTGAGCTGCTGGACGCGGACACCACGCCATCCATCCGCCTTCTCAGCCCAGCGCACGAGGGCCTGAAGCCCGCACAATCCCTGAAATGGGTGCCCTGGCAGTTTCATGGAAGCAGTGCCACTTGGAGCAATCCCGGTTAGAAGAGCGCGCCTTGCACGCACTGCACGCATTTGCAAGGACACGCGTTGCTTGCCTTTAAAGTTTCACGGGTCAAGCGAAGTCCAGTGACTATCCAGCGCATGGTGCAACGGATCTGCGGGTTCACCAGCGACATAGCGTTCGTACTCCAGGCGTTTGTCACTGTGTCCATCGCAGGGTTCGAGATCAGCTGGCAGCCCTGGCGAATCAGAACTCATTCGTCGGCATCGATATTCGCCATATCGCCGTCGGTCACATCATGGCGCATCCGGAATGCAGCTGTAGATCATCTACCGATCTTTGATCCTGCGTTCCGTACCCCGGTCGACTGGAAGCAGTGCCACTTTCAGCATCCCGGTTAAAAGAACGGCGGCCGCTTCGGACAACATGCCTTAAAACAATATTGCTTAATTCAAAAATATATAGATAAACTTAAGATATATTATACATTTTGAAATCAATTTCTGTATACATATTTAATTTTGGGAATGGTTGACGAATGAACAAAATGTTTGCGGTTTTGTGTGGGTGTATGAGCTTGCATGTTTTTGTTTTGTTTGTGGAGTTGTGGGTATGAGTATATGAACTATATAAAGATTATTCAAATCGCTTTTTTACAGCTAAATTGTAGATATACACATATACAAAAATACGCATATTCAAACACATTACACCAGCATAGACCCCAGATAGCAAAAAAACAGACCGATGATTGCGCACCAGCACCTGTTTCAGCACCCCTCGCAGAGCGCAGACATTGGAGTACAATCTCGTCAAAAAAGGAGCGCGCGCCGTCACCAGCACCTCAGATAGCGAAGGTGACGGTGCAGCTCGGTTCGCGTGAATTTGATGTGAATTTACTTATCGCGAACGACATTCGACTCAAGCTTCGACACATGGTATTCATGCACGCAACACAAGCAGCCAACATTCCCGATTTCAAATCTGAGCAACAACAGTTTTTCAATGAGCCAACATGGTAGTAAACATGGTGAAAGGATAGTCTTGTTGTGATTGCAAACATTGCCAAAAAGTCACATGCAGCCTGAATCCCGGCAACGTCAGCTGTCATTGTTTCTGCAGACGCCCATGATGCATGAGCTGGGAGCTTGACGGTGCCATGGAGCCAGACATCAGAAGGCTGGGAAAACATGGTGTGCCATTTGGGAATTTCTGTGCATCGCAAGAGGAATGTCAAGAAGTGGTGTCCTGGGTGCCAGCACGAGTTCTATGCAGAGCAATGGGAGTTGGGAGTTGTATTTGGTACATGTTCTTGTCCAACCATTAGTCCTTGTTTACTGCTCCAGTCTGACTCGTTTCTTCACGAGTACAACTAGTTCGTCGATGTCAACTCGAGTTGACGATGACATTTTGTTTGAAGAATCCGATGGTGCATTTGTACACTGTGCACACTTGAGTGTTGATTGCGCTTGTTGTTGAGGCCCATTGAGCACATGCGCCAGCGATCTGGTGATGCGCGCGGCTGCCTACTGTGGGTGTGCGTTTGCGCAACTGCGTTCAAGTTACGGCTATCAATCTGCAGTCATAGGCATGCTAGTGGAATCAGCCGGTAAAACAACAATCAGAAATGCTACATACCCGATTCACAAGGTGAGGCGAATTTTGCACCGGGGACTTGATTCAGAACAGATTCTAGTTTGGAGGATTTTCAGCTCAGCGATGTTGTTTTCCTCATTTGAAAGCGGCATGCAAGCTGTCTTCAGGTAAGGGTGTGCAGGGGAGGCTCTCGCAAACGTAAACAACTATGGTGGATACGCCCGCGCGGAAAAACCAATTTGGCAAGTTGAACTTGCTGTTGGATGAAACCATAGGTGACACCTTCATTGCAATTGATTCACAGTCGGTTCTGCACCTCATCAGGCACTTGGCTTTCCAATCGGGGACATGCAAGCAGCATAGGAATCCTGGTTTCAGGATCCTTTGCTATGCAACGCATCCAGTTTGAGGAGATGTCTTCGCTTGGTAGGGTTTACCCAGAAATGAGTGGGCTCAGTTTGAAAAACATGTGAGAGCAACATTTCCCTGCGCAAGAGAATGTAGTGGCTCACGCATGCATTCCGAGTGCAAGGCGCGCTCGTTCTGGCTCTGTTGAGCGGCAGGCCAGTCAAGCAGCGGATGGCTGCTTTACTGTTTGTTTGTTTTGCAGGTGCTCTTGGTCCGGTTTGAAGATGTACGACTTCCTTTCTGTCTGCAGTTCACTTTCTTGCCGTTCTTTTGTGGCGTCGGCATTAGGCACCTTTGACACTAAGCAGTTGTTATTGGCATGTTTGTCTGGACCAACAGAAGGTTTGCCCCACAATTGCCGGAGTCGGCCTCCTTCAATTGCAATATCCGGGCTTTTCATTTCCTTGGGTCTGTGCTCCACACTGGCCAGTGGCGGCGGGACAGCTCGCAGCTGGTGGGGCAGAGTCAGCAGGACCGGGAGCCAAGTCAGATGTGGTGATAGTGGAGCCACGATCATTGGGAGCAAGGCCTTGGCTCTTGCATTTATTCCATGAACAAGTCTTGCTGCTGTCTTTGGGGCGGGGGAACGGGTTGCCGTGACAAGAATAGCATTTCTTGATTTGTGACCGGCTCGACTTCAGGGCGGCTACAATGGCTTCAAGCTGGCGCTGGCGGTAATCATCTTCCACTTCGGTGTGAAGATGCTGGCGGGGAATGGGTTCAAGAGAAACGGTAACCCCGGTAACCCTCGGCGCAGAAGGGTCAAGCAGCACCCCAGTCCCTGGACAGGTGCAGTTCGCTGACATCCTGCTGCCTTTCATTATGGCATTGTTGCTAGTGACGGTGCTGGAGCCAGTCAAGCAGGCTAGGGTTCGGCTAGTCGCCTTGCACCTTGGCAAGATCTAAGTAGCCTTTGTTTGTCTTGCTTGTGCCCCAGCCATTGCATGGTTGCCACTGGCAGGTGACGCTCGACACGTTGGAGCTCGCTCCTCGGTCTCTGATTTTTGGTGTTGCAAAAGCACCAGAATTGAGCCAGTCTGTTATCAGCGGATCGTTCCATGGCGAAGGTTGGGTCTTTAATGTGGGGTTGACTCATTCTTCAATGGTTTGATTGTAGGGGTTTTTAGCGCAAGAGGACCACCTTCATCCTGTTCTTCTCACACGTGACCTGTCGCTGCTGCCTCCGCACTTCCCGGAAGGCAGGGGCCCATGCAGGCATTCAAGTCAACCTGAGGGCAGGCCAATCATTGATCAGCCTCGACTCCAGGGCGGCGTGCCTGGGAACTTTGACACGCGCAGAGGGTCCCAGAAAATGCGATGAGCTCCAGTCTCAAGAGCCGGAAGATGTTGGAAGCACTGGGTTGCATTGGTTACAGCCTATTGGTTTGACCAAATCTGCTGACCAGGCATCGTGGGTTTGTGCTCGATGTTAACAAAATGCAGAGGCTAGCACTCAAAGAGCTCTAGGAAGTATTTTTCAGCTGTTCAGAATCCTCCGTTTGCAGCAAAGCTTCATTCAGAAGCTGTATGGCTCTCTTCACTCTTGCTGGAATTCCTGAATATCCCAAGCTCCGATTTTCAGCGGCAACAGTGGGCAGTGGTCAAACCCTCGCTTGGCTTCTATTGGTCGCACTTCTTATGCCATTTGTCTGGCGTGTAGTTGGAGACCTTTGCTCCGAGGCCCCGGTCGTGTGGAGCTGCATGAGCTGGTGCCGGGCCCAGGTTTGGGGATTCCGTCGGGCCGGCCCGACTGCCCGACGCGCTGTCTTGACTTGAACCCATCGCCTGGCAAGGCAAACGCAGACGGTGATGGGACTTTGGCTGTTGTACTTGAGTGTGGGCTCAAAATGTTGGTGGGAAAGAGGAAGTTCAAAGGAAAGCGTGGCCGCCAGTTTTTTTTTTTTTTTTTTTTTTTTAAAGAAGAAAAGCTCTGTCGATCACCGCCTGTTCCAAAGTTGCAATGTCCTGCAATGTCCTTTTCGCGTTGTGCTGCTTGAGAGGAAGGATTGCAACTCAACCTTGGCAGCTTTAGAGGGTGGTGCAGGTGTTGTGCAATTGTTGTGCAATGGCAGCTAATTGCCGGTGACTTCAGAAAAGCAGTGCAAGAGCCTCATTGTCACAGCTTCTGACAGCGTGTGACAAATGACATGAATCCGTTTGTGACGAGCTTCCTTGCACAAACAAGATTTCATGATAGTATGTCGTGTTTGAAAGCGATTGTACTTGCCTCTGCTGCTTGCTTACTTCCCGTTGCTGCTGCTCTCCAATCTATATACAAACCCCCCACACACACACACACCACGAGTTTGTGGCTAGCTTCAAGTCGAAGGCAATTGGAAAGTGATGCATGCGCCAGCAACAGTATTGATGTGTATAAGTTCATTAGAGGTATGGTAACCTTCCAAAAGCGAGTGGTACAAATGACAACCCCGGCAAGCGATGCCACGCAGTTGAAGCGCATCCTCCTTTTCACGTCGATTGCCAGCGCCTCAGCGATTTGCATCAGTGCTCACCAAACAAGGTCTGCATGGAGAGGGGTCCCAAATCCAAATGCCCAAATGCAGGGTGATGTGACTTGGTTGCGTTGGAGACGTGCAGTGTGCCAAATGCGAAGGTTATCACCATCCTCCTGGCCGGGAGACTCTTCTGGTTTGTGGGTCAGATTGTCTGGCTCAGTGGCGAGGCGGCTGTAGAGCTCGCGAGCAACCGCGCTTTTCTTGGAAGAACTCAGGGGTCTTTCTGGTGCTTGATGCGGTGACATGCTGGACATGCGGTGACATGCTGGACATGCGGTGACATGCTGACTACTGTTCTGGATTCTTAGTGTTTCTGGTGCTTGATGCGGTAGCAAGTCGCAAGCCGAGTGGGAGCAGCGGAATATTCACAGTCTTCTACGGCAGTAAAGGGGATGACATGGGGCCGCACTCACCAAATTACTATCCGGAAATGGGGGTTTACTCACAGCAAGGCTGCTTGCCACACCTGCACACAGTATGTTCAAACCTTGGCCCCTCATGCAGGCTGTGACCCACGACTTTGAATTCTACCAGCATGGCGTGGGAAAGCGAACTCACCAAGTCGAGGGCCAAGCTTTCTGTTGTGGGCTTTGTCGAGCCAGGCCGAATTGGGGGTGAAACCTCTGTTTGTGTCCATTGTGATTCATGTCTGACCTTTGCGGCACAGCATCCGAAACAGGCGTGAACTGAAAGGCATTTGGCCACCCCTCAGGAGCTGCTTTTATTCCCAGTCTTGTGCGGAGCTGCCTCCAAGACTGCACAGAAGTCCAGCATGACGTATTGCCATCAGGGCCCGTGGCTCAGGTTCAGATCCTGCTCCACAGGCAGCACCAGAGAGGGCATGGATCTTCGCCCCAGTTGCCGTTCAAAAGACATTCACATCACGCCAATGACAAGCTACTGATCAGTGGTTAAAGTGAAGCGCGCACCAAACCACTCGCGACATACATGCAAAGCAGCAAAACTTTGCTGCGACCAACGATTTGGCAGGTTTCATTTGGAGCATAGCATCCCCACGAGCATGGAGCCCTGTCCTCAGTCTATGCCAGCATGGTTCTGGTTTGCGGTACGTGGAGCCAGGCCCATCCAATTTGCGGAAGGGGCCGTGCCATGAACCTCCAACTGTTCAAAGTGGCTGCAGCTGAAATGACGGAGCTTGTGAACTGAGCTGCATGGGCCTTACATTTGCATTTATGTGCGGCCGAGGAATGTTGGGCAGGTGGCACTGAAAGTCATCAAGTTTGTGGCGGAGTTCCTGAGTCAGCATGCCGCGAACCAAGAGACCGAGCGCAAAGAAAGTTGCCACATTTCCGTTGGTTTTGCAGCTTAGCGTCCTGAGCGGGGTGGACACCTTCTGTGCTTGCTCTAGCATGGTGAGCCAGCTTTTTGTTTGTGTGTTTCAACATGAACTCACATGCCTTTGCAGGTCTTCTACACCATGACGCAGGCACTCAATTTCGCGGAGTTGGTTGTGGATGAGTTTCAAGGTGTGAAACGCTTTATACACGATCAGAAAGCGTGCAGCGAAATTCAAAAGGCATGCTTTGGTTCCCAGTGTTTATGGTGAAATCATAAGGGCCTGGTTATCTTCTTTTACAGGAGTCAGTGCAGAGCTTTGGTGCTGAATGGTTTGCGTCAGCGATGGGGGTAGCCTGTTCGAGATGGGCATAGCAGTCTGGAAAGCGCCGTTGGAGTCCCAAGCTCTGCTTGGAGTCTCTTTCGGCTTTGCGATTCCCCACAGAGATCCAGGCAAATCGGGGCTTCTTTTCCTTGGTATCAAGCTGCGTCAGGTATCAAGCAGGCTTTACGACTCTCCTGTTAAACCAAGCCACAGGCAGTATCTCGCGCGAAGCCACTGTGCCAGGTAAGTCTCACGGGCATCTTCGTGCTCTTCCTGTCCCACGACAGAAATTTGGGACAGTAGAAGGGGGGCAGTCAAACATTACAGGCATTTGGGGCACCAGTTAGGGACAAGTGAGACGAGCAATCCCTCATGCGGCCTCAAGCCGTGCTAGGAGCCCTCTAGCAACCCATGGTAACGTTATTGTTGATCTCATCTGAATGTAAATTTACCTGGAAAAGACAAAGCATTCATGGTCCCAAATGCTCAAAATTGGAGATGTCAAAACCTGGTGTGGGTGCAAACCAGTCAACTTGTCCCCCTGAATCTGAAGTTGGAGATCCAGCGATTTCTGCGCACAGGCAGTTTGTTTCAATTCAATTGGGTCTTGTCCTGAGAGAAGGTTGGAGGTTCTTTTGCTGATACGCTGCTAGAGGCTTTTCTCCCCCGTGCAGCGTGACTTCTCGCCGGTCATGCAGGCGGGAAAGACCAGGGAAAAACTCGCGGGAGGGATTTTCTCCGATGAAAGGATCCTTCGCTTAGCGGCTTACCGTCGTCACACTGAGCCAAAAAACAGCTCGAAGCGTTGTGAGTTCCATCGAGTGAGCCATCGCTGGGCGACCTTCAGGGCGTCTTCGAGTCCATGGAGCTTTACCTGAAGCTGAAAACCGCCAGCCTCCCAGGGGCTCTTGGGGAGGCCGCGCTCGCCTCGGATGCGGACTGGATGTCTTTATCTGCAAATTTACACATCGTTTGGGGCTGCTTTTCTCAGGGGCTGTTTGTTGTTGCTATAAGTCTCTTCATTCTTGGTGTCTGGTTCCCCATTTCCATGCAGACCGACAGCTTTGTGTCTCATTTCTCCTAAAAGTTGGGAGAACTCCCGATCGCACTTTTTGACTCTCTGACCGATTTTCTTTTGGGGAGAGGTTTCCCTTGGGCAGCCCAACCTCAAACCCCCCTCTTGGCTATCGCCCGTGCGCCCAGTTCATCTCTGCCATGATGGGCATCACGAACGGCATCGCCCTGTGGCTCATCGGCCTGGACTGACTCGGCCGGTTTTGGTCGGGGGAGGGGGGCGCTGGGGCGTTGGCGTTTCACGCGTTTGTGGTTGGGCACTCTCATGTTTCAGGCCTGCCTTCTCCATTTTCGTCAAGCTCAAAGAGGTTGCTTCACGTGGTGAGACATTTCTATAATAATATCGAAGAACTGCTTTGGTACATGGTGACATGCATGCCTGAACCTTTCCAACTATAGATTTCAAGGACTCAGCTGCCTGCTCGGTGCAGGAACTGCCGGCGGCCTGGGGGCTGCTAACCTTTCTGGCCAACTTCATCCCGAACATCGGGGGCCCGGCGGGCGCCCAAGTTGGAAAGCTGAAGCTACGTAGCGGGAAATGCATCAGGTCCCTTGGTTGGGGTGAACAGTTTGGAGGTGGCATTCTTATGACTTAAGAGTCTCAACCCGGCCTGCATACGAACAGTGGCATTTCTTTTTCCAATTGCTCTGCCAGTGCGTTTCCATCGTGCCCTGTGTCATCTCGCTGCTGGACGAGCGCAAGACCTTATACCAGGCTGAGGGCGAACCGAGTTTGGGAGTTTTGCACAGTTTCTGGCCGTTGCTAAATCTGAAGCCAACCCCAAAGTCGCAGTGCATGAAACCAGACATGGCCCGAGCCGGAAATGGGTCATTGAGCCCTGTGATTTTGAGCAAAGGGCCTTCGGGGGCAACCAGCGGCTCACGGTGGCGGCAACGTCCGGATGGCACTGGCAAGGTGTCCGCAGCCTTCCTGGCGCAGTTCTTTCTGCATTTCAACATCGCCAACTTCGTGGAGCCGGTGATTTTCGGCACCACGGAGGACGTCGAAGCCCTTCCAGTCCTGGACATTCCATGTTTTGATGATTCAAGCTTTTCTCTGCGGGTTGATGTTTGAAGGAGACGTAGAACCCTACTTTGGAGGTAGGCTGCTCTAGGCACACGGATGGATTGGACAAGGACTTGCCACTGTTTGCGTGTGTGCCCGCCAAGCCCTTGAAAATGAGGGCCGGGAATCTCAGTAGATAACTTATGGAAGCATCAGAACAAAGACCAGGACTCATACACTCAGCTCCAGCCAAAACGGGAAGTGCCCACACAGAGTAGTGAGGCTCACAGCATCAGGCTGTCTGAAGGAGCAACCTTAGATTCACGCGTTTGTGATGCAGAGACCAACGCAAACATCAAGTTTTGCAGTGAGTCAGCCGTTTGTCCTCTCATCTCAGCCGCTCAAGGGAGCGCCAGCCCTGTTGGGCCCAGCGACCAATGGCGATGGGGTACCCGCTCAAGCGGCCATCAGGCCGAAAGTGGCTGTTCCGTTCAATGTCCTAATGCTGCAGGGTGCTTCGATGCAGGATTTGCGCACTGTTTAGCTTGTGTAGGGAGAACAACAGCTTTTTTTTTGGGGTGTTGGAGCATGGTGCAGCACGGTGTGCGGAAGGTGAGAGTTGTTGCCTCAGCCAATCAGTAGCTTCATGACTTGCCAGGTGAACAAGCCAGACGCTCAACAATGCTTCCATGTCCAGCACTGTTGAAGGTTTGGAGCAGCTTGTATGTGTATTGCCGGCCAAAGTGCCCAAGAGCACACACCCACCCTTGCTTGCACCCACACTCACACCCACACTCACACCACATATTCGCGCACGCGCACGCGCACGCACACACTCAGACTCCGACGCCCAATGAGGGTGAAGATAGGGGCTAGGCGGTCTGGATGAGGATCCATTAAGGCGGCAGGCGACGGGACTTTCCCAGGTCCAGTTGAATGCAAGCTTGAGGGCTTCTCACTAAGGTGAGCCTGACAGGGACAGCTCTGGAGAAGGTGTGGCTGTCAGTTCTCAGGCTGAAAGGTGCTTTTGACAAGGAAGAACCGTCCAGGATGCTGCCTTGGAAGTTGGACGCTTGTTGAATCACAGCAAGTTTGCGGCTCTATGACAATTTGTCATCCTGTGCAACTTGCAGGCCGCTACTGAGGAACGACAGGCACGCTGGGCTAGGAGATGTTCAGCTTTAAACGTAAAAGCAAACAACTAGTGGTAGGACCCCCACGCAGAATCCGCTCGAACTATAATATGTGCTTTTTGGAAGGTGGGACATGAGAGCGCGACATGAACAAGTCGCCCAAACACAGACACTGCTGCTCACACAAACTGGCAACAGCATCACCATCGCAATAGGAATGACAGATCTTTTGTGTTCCGCCTGCGGCTGGAGGCCCCACAGCTGCCTTTGCACAGTGCGAGGGGGCGGCCGCCTGAGCTGTGCGCTTTGTCTTGGTTTGACCTACTTGGGTGACTGGGCCTGGGCGGTTGGCCTGGTCCCACGGTTAGTTGGATGACTTTCGGACCAGGCCTCGAGCTCCGGAGATTTGGATGAAAAGTTCAGCAGGTCGCTGGTCTCATTGCGCAAACGGCTGCAGACGCCCTAATTAGATGCTTAGGCCAGAATGCCTGCACAGAGAATAGAGGGCGCAACCGAGGTCTGATACCATGAGCCGTTCTGCAAAGTCCCCTAGGCAGGGTGGTCCGCCATTGAGCCAAGAGAGAGTGGGTGTGTTCTGCACGCGCGCTGCAGCCCAGACCCTTCCGCAACAAGTAGCAAGGCGAAGTCATCCCGGAGCAGTGTCGGGCAGTTCACACCGCCTGTACCCGTCGCATGGCTCGAAGAGACAGCGTCCCAAACGTGTGCCCGTTGCGACCAAATTGCTTCACCATGCCCGGGACCCAGAGACATGGAAACATTCGAACAAAAGAGAGAGAAACAACAGATAAAGAGATACCCAACATGTAGGGTGTGAGAGATGCCATTGATATGACTTTCAGAGTTTCTTTTGTGAGAGTGAGCTATCCCAGCCGAGTAACTCGAGGGTCAAAGCTTTGGCAAAGCTAGCTTGTTCAAAACAAAAACCCCAAGGATTAGCGGATTGCGCGGTTTACGGATTTGATTATGCGGCTTGCGGATTGGGACTATGGGTTGCACGGATAGCCCATGCTCCAACATTCGGTTGTGACCCACAGTAGATGACGATACCCCTAGCGACACCCTAACCTTAGGGCTACGATGAAGCCCAACCGCACTGTCCACGCTTTCCCATTGTGCTGAAAAGATGTGATTTTCATGTTGGAGCTGCTGAAGAGTACTTTGAGTGCGGCGCTTGCACTGAACATTTGCGAGTGGAGCTGCCAAAGGAGCTCCTACCAGCACGAAACAATGCACAGTGGCAAGGACATGTTGCCATCGCAAACAACCAAAGAATGACCATGTAAGATATGTCGCCACTTGGTTGATTTGCAACCTAGAGTGTGAAATGTCATTGCCATTTTCCACGAAACCACTCCTCCCAGTGATTGAGAACTCCACTGCACGAACTGAACCGCTACAAGCACCCCCCCTATGATTAACACCACCACAAGATGCTGAGCTTCATCAAACAGAACCACATGTGCCAAGGAGACTGACACATTTTGTGTGTTTCCTAGGGTAGCTTGGCATGACACCTTTCGTTGGCGGCCAAGGCAGCGTTTGTTCAGTGTGACACCAAGGCGGATGCGTTGCTGGGGGTTACACGGTCAGAAGCGATATCGTTGCATTTGGTTACTGCCCGGTCGCAAAATGGGCAAAGGCCGTGTTTGCCTTCGTGCTTTGCCTTTGTGATTTTCCAGCGGATGGGCTTCCAATACAACGTTGCTTGGGAGTGCAGGCTTTTTGCGCCACAGCCAAAAGGCAAAACATGTTCCTTGCTGCTTGTCATCCCTGGCTGTCAGACGGGTGAGCGGGCAGATCCGATCCCTAATCTATCGCGACCTGACAGGCAGCTGGCAGGATGCGTGCGACACTCTTCAACTGCCAAGGCCGTTCTAAAGAGCAGCCTCGCGCGTTCGAAAGCCCGCATGTTTTTTTGGCACTGTGGCAACACTGACTGCATGGACCAGAGGTAGAAGCCATTTCAACGAGAGTGGGTGTTCTGAAATATCATCACTTTGTTTTTACTTCGGAGGGTTGTTGCTTCAATTGTCAGAAGCTGGCACGTGCCGAGTGATTTGTCCCAATTTGCACAGTGCGGTCTGCCTTGCAGGGGTGAACACCCTTTTTTATTGTTTGGTTTTCCCGGTTGTTACTCTGATTGCTGCGGGATTCAGCCCGGACCATCGACCTCCTTCATACAAATGTGACCTTAGAGTCTGGTACAGCAGAGCAACTATTCCGCACAAGCCGTACCTTGGTGCAAACACCTGCGCTGAACTTGCGTTTCAAACAACGCATGACCAGGTGTGGATCAACAAGGACACCAAGGTCATTTGCCAGGGGATGACCGGAAGGCAAGGCACCTTCCACACCAAACAGGCCCGATGCAGTCAGTCGGCCAGTCCGTTGGTGTGGGTTTCGCTCTTTTCGAGGGTCCTGTGCTGCTGCATTCTCCTTGAGTTGAAAAGGAGCCGCACATGTCACAGCAGCTGTGTTGATAGCCATTTGGTTCAAGCAACTCAAGGCTGAAGGTGGTGTAGCTTGACGGCAGAGCATCCATGAAGCTGTCCTACGTACTCTCTGTGGCCTTCATGGCCGTCATCCCAGCACAGGGCGGAAATGAGACGCAGCATCTTCGAGGCCAACACAAAGCAGAGACAGCTGGCATCCCGAGTGAAGATGAGGTGAAAGCAGAAGACCTCGTTACTGGCATGGCCAGTGAGCCAAAGGAGGAGTCAGGCGAAGTTGGAGTTGTAGGCGAAGAGCTCGAGGAGCTCGACACAAAGGGCACAGATGAGCCAAAGGATCAGTCAGCTGCTGTCGGCTCGGAAAACAGAGAGCAAGCTCCGCAGAGAGAGGATGAAGTTGGAGTTGTTTTTGAAGAGAATGCCACCGACGCTAACGCCACTGACAACTTCCGGGTTGGCATGAGGGGCTTCAGACCCTACAGGCGGCCCTACAGGCCCTACAGACCCTACAGGCCCTACAGGCCTTACAGGCCTTACAGGCCCTACCATGCAGGTGGTGGGTGCCGACGCTGGGTCACCTGCTACAACGGATGGTACGGCGGTATTCGATGCCAAGGTGGCCGGTACTGCGTGCTTTGGCGCTGAGTTCCAGTGGTTCAATGTTCACAGCAGCCATAATTGAGACTTGCATCTTTTGCGCAACTCAGTAAAGCAGAGTTGTGAGCTTCCAGTTTTGTGGTATTGGGATTGACTCCTCTCCGGTACAGGGGAGAGATGCTTCCAATTTATTGTGCGCCTGCGTTTTGTGTCGGCGCACGGCAAAGAGCGTCAGCAGGTTCCACAGACATGTTGTGGGATTTGTCCGAACGCTAAAAGCAGAGCTAAGTGCCAATCTATTATGCGCCTGCGTTTTGTGTCAGTGTGCAGCAAAAAGCGTCAGCAGGTTCCCAGACATGTTGTGGGATTTGTCCGAATGCCCAAAGCAGAGCTGAGTGTGAGTCGTGCAATCATTGCATTGCAAAGCAGCTTGCAAGCCATTTGGTTCAAGCAACTCAAGGCTGAAGGTGGTGTAGCTTGACGGCAGAGCATCCATGAAGCTGTCCTACGTACTCTCTGTGGCCCTCATGGCCGTCATCCCAGCACAGGGCGGAAATGAGACGCAGCATCTTCGAGGCCAACACAAAGCAGAGACAGCTGGCATCCCGAGTGAAGATGAGGTGAAAGCAGAAGACCTCGCTTCTGGCATGGCCAGTGAGCCAAAGGAGGAGTCAGGCGAAGTTGGAGTTGTAGGCGAAGAGCTCGAGGAGCTCGACACAAAGGGCACAGATGAGCCAAAGGATCAGCCAGCTGCTGTCGGCTCGGACAACAGAGAGCAAGCTCCGCAGGGAGAGGATGAAGTTGGAGTTGTTTTCGAAGAGAATGCCACCGACGCTAACGCCACTGAGAACTTCCGGGTTGGCATGAGGGGCTTCAGACCCTACAGGCGGCCCTACAGGCCCTACAGGCCCTACAGGCCCTACAGGCCCTACAGGCCTTACAGGCCTTACAGGCCCTACCATGCAGGTGGTGGGTGCCGACGCTGGGTCACCTGCTACAACGGATGGTACGGCGGTATTCGATGCCAAGGTGGCCGGTACTGCGTGCTTTGGCGCTGAGTTCCAGTGGTTCAATGTTCACAGCAGCCATAATTGAGACTTGCATCTTTTGCGCAACTCAGTAAAGCAGAGTTGTGAGCTTCCAGTTTTGTGGTATTGGGATTGACTCCTCTCCGGTACAGGGGAGAGATGCTTCCAATTTATTGTGCGCCTGCGTTTTGTGTCGGCGCACGGAAAAGAGCGTCAGCAGGTTCCACAGACATGTTGTGGGATTTGTCCGAACGCTAAAAGCAGAGCTAAGTGCCAATCTATTGTGCGCCTGCGTTTTGTGTCAGTGTGCAGCAAAAAGCGTCAGCAGGTTCCCAGACATGTTGTGGGATTTGTCCGAATGCCCAAAGCAGAGCTGAGTGTGAGTCGTGCAATCATTGCATTGCAAAGCAGCTTGCAAGCCATTTGGTTCAAGCAACTCAAGGCTGAAGGTGGTGTAGCTTGACGGCAGAGCATCCATGAAGCTGTCCTACGTACTCTCTGTGGCCCTCATGGCCGTCATCCCAGCACAGGGCGGAAATGAGACGCAGCATCTTCGAGGCCAACACAAAGCAGAGACAGCTGGCATCCCGAGTGAAGATGAGGTGAAAGCAGAAGACCTCGCTTCTGGCATGGCCAGTGAGCCAAAGGAGGAGTCAGGCGAAGTTGGAGTTGTAGGCGAAGAGCTCGAGGAGCTCGACACAAAGGGCACAGATGAGCCAAAGGATCAGCCAGCTGCTGTCGGCTCGGACAACAGAGAGCAAGCTCCGCAGGGAGAGGATGAAGTTGGAGTTGTTTTCGAAGAGAATGCCACCGACGCTAACGCCACTGAGAACTTCCGGGTTGGCATGAGGGGCTTCAGACCCTACAGGCGGCCCTACAGGCCCTACAGGCCCTACAGGCCCTACAGGCCCTACAGGCCTTACAGGCCTTACAGGCCCTACCATGCAGGTGGTGGGTGCCGACGCTGGGTCACCTGCTACAACGGATGGTACGGCGGTATTCGATGCCAAGGTGGCCGGTACTGCGTGCTTTGGCGCTGAGTTCCAGTGGTTCAATGTTCACAGCAGCCATAATTGAGACTTGCATCTTTTGCGCAACTCAGTAAAGCAGAGTTGTGAGCTTCCAGTTTTGTGGTATTGGGATTGACTCCTCTCCGGTACAGGGGAGAGATGCTTCCAATTTATTGTGCGCCTGCGTTTTGTGTCGGCGCACGGCAAAGAGCGTCAGCAGGTTCCACAGACATGTTGTGGGATTTGTCCGAACGCTAAAAGCAGAGCTAAGTGCCAATCTATTGTGCGCCTGCGTTTTGTGTCAGTGTGCAGCAAAAAGCGTCAGCAGGTTCCCAGACATGTTGTGGGATTTGTCCGAATGCCCAAAGCAGAGCTGAGTGTGAGTCGTGCAATCATTGCATTGCAAAGCAGCTTGCAAGCCATTTGGTTCAAGCAACTCAAGGCTGAAGGTGGTGTAGCTTGACGGCAGAGCATCCATGAAGCTGTCCTGCGTACTCTCTGTGGCCCTCATGGCCGTCATCCCAGCACAGGGCGGAAATGAGACGCAGCATCTTCGAGGCCAACACAAAGCAGAGACAGCTGGCATCCCGAGTGAAGATGAGGTGAAAGCAGAAGACCTCGTTACTGGCATGGCCAGTGAGCCAAAGGAGGAGTCAGGCGAAGTTGGAGTTGTAGGCGAAGAGCTCGAGGAGCTCGACACAAAGGGCACAGATGAGCCAAAGGATCAGTCAGCTGCTGTCGGCTCGGAAAACAGAGAGCAAGCTCCGCAGGGAGAGGATGAAGTTGGAGTTGTTTTCGAAGAGAATGCCACCGACGCTAACGCCACTGAGAACTTCCGGGTTGGCATGAGGGGCTTCAGACCCTACAGGCGGCCCTACAGGCCCTACAGACCCTACAGGCCTTACAGGCCCTACAGGCCTTACAGGCCTTACAGGCCCTACCATGCAGGTGGTGGGTGCCGACGCTGGGTCACCTGCTACAACGGATGGTACGGCGGTATTCGATGCCAAGGTGGCCGGTACTGCGTGCTTTGGCGCTGAGTTCCAGTGGTTCAATGTTCACAGCAGCCATAATTGAGACTTGCATCTTTTGCGCAACTCAGTAAAGCAGAGTTGTGAGCTTCCAGTTTTGTGGTATTGGGATTGACTCCTCTCCGGTACAGGGGAGAGATGCTTCCAATTTATTGTGCGCCTGCGTTTTGTGTCGGCGCACGGCAAAGAGCGTCAGCAGGTTCCACAGACATGTTGTGGGATTTGTCCGAACGCTAAAAGCAGAGCTAAGCGCGAGTCATGCAATCACTGCAACAGCAGCCGAGCCGGGTTTGCAAAGCTACTCTTTGTTTGCTGACAGGCCATCGAGTATGGAACCAACATGGTGGGCGGTGTGAACAAGAAGAAGGCAACTTCAGCTTTCGCAAAGTCATCGTGTTGCAAAGCGATGCAAGATAAGTTCAGATGACTGTTTACCACTTTTCAACACACTCACGTTTCTAACAGTTTATGGTCCTGGAAATCCCAGTCATTGCATTAGGCTTAAGCTAGCCAATTCCTATTTGCCCTGCCAGGGTGGTGAGAAGCACATGGGCCTGGGGTCCCGGATGTCCCAGTGCCGTGAAACTAGCAGAGGGTTTGCATGGTGCGCAGAGCCTGGCATGCAATCATTGGCCATTTCGATGCGGGAACCGGCGCTTCCACTGACGCGTTTGGAGGTCCCCAATTGTTGGGTGCCATGTTCCGCGCAGGGTCTAAGGAGAGGCACTGGGGCTTGGCGAGCTTTGACAAGCATGTATTTGTCTGCTGCCGCGTGCCCAGATTTGCCCATCTTCGCCAACTGCATGGAGGCAAAGAAGGAGACAGGGTGAAATGCTTAGCAGACTAGGAAGCGGGGCAGGAGGCAGGCTGGATGGAAGCGTATGATGTATGCTTATGAATATGCACAAGCTAATGCACCACCTTTTTGATTTAATCACCTATCACAGTTCACGAAAGCTAGCTTTAGCTAGCTGAAGTTTCTCCTTGCGTAAGCAAGGTAAGGGGCTCAACTGCCGAAAGATTGATTTTTTCAATTATTTGAGCCGAAAAGATTGAAACAAATCAATTATTTAGACCCCCCCTCCCCCCCCCCCCCCGTCTCAGGCTCGATTCCTCCTTGGTCCACCCCTCTCCCCGGGCAGTGGCTCAGTGTTTCAGCAGTCTCGGTTTGCCCGTTTTGGACTTGGTGCTACGAACTTTTACATGTTCCACCGATTCAGCTTGTTCATTTGAGACCTCAGTCTTCTCAGTAAACCACCTCGCAAGAATCTTTGCACACGCAGCATGCAGAACCCAGAGGTGCTTTAAGACAGCTTCTGACGCCTCTCGTTGTTTTCATTTTTCAAGGTTTGCCACGCCACCATGTGCGTCTGCGTGTCGCATCCTACGAATCTTGCCGGGCCTCTCGTTGTACACAAGCTACCTATGAATCCACTCTGTCACCGACCCATCTCATGCAACAACTGCTAGCTTTCGTTCACCCGCTCCTCAAGTGCCAGCTGGCCATTTCGCCTTCTTTGCATTCCAAAATTCAGCATTTTCGATTTTTCCCCTCATCTTTAGCCTCATGCTCATAAATCAACACGGCCCATCCCCAAGCTGCTCGTGCCTTCCGACGCCCGTGCCGAGTGCCGACGCCTCGGTGATTTACGTGCCGCCCCCCGCCGCGGCCGCCGCGGTGCTCGAGGCCTTGGAGGCGCGACGGGAGGCTTCGGGTGGCGGGGAGGGGAATAGGTCAGTGGAATTCTCTGGAAATGGCGCCATGCTGTGGGTCAGAGCCAAAGAACCAGAACGCAGATTTTAGTTCATATCCCCATTTAGCAAGGTGGAATCTTGGGTACCCTTTTTTACCCCGCAGCCATATGACCTGGAAAACAAAAAGGAACCTTATGAACATGGCATACTAGTTGACATATTTCGACTTGTTTGCTGAACATTGCCAATGTGAGGGTATCGGCAGAGTGCACAAACAAGAGAGTGCATGTCTCCTCAGAGTTTTTGCAAGTGCTTGTCGAAGAGTGGATCGAACAAAACTCAGCTGTTTCTTGCCTGGGTTGCCCAATTCTGGATGTTTGTGCAAGAAGGTCTTTCAAAGCGACTTTTTCCTATGTGGCACTGAGAATATGGACTTAGCATTGTCTCTCTCACGCGTTTGACCTGGCACAATTTTCCTACTCAGCATGCCTTTCACTATGCATTGCAAAGGGCTCAAGGGTTGTCTCAAATGGCTAAAGTTGTGAGTGCTGTTTGGTAGCGTCAGGCGGCTCAATTTGCGTAAACGTGGGGTGTGTGGAGAGGCTGAGATCCCGCTGATCGTGTGCATCACCGAGGGCATCCCTCAGCAGGTGCGTGTAACTGCCATCACCAATCAATATTTGATGTTACAATTCACATGACCTATCCTCGGCATCCAGCCGTGAGCAATTGGAAGGGCACTGAGCTACATTCATCTTTGCAGTGGGTTTGCGTGACAAATACTTAATGTTGCAGGACATGGTGAAGGTCAAGCATGCACTGATGCGCCAGAACAAGTCGCGCTTGATTGGCCCCGACCCTATGTGGTCGTGCTCTGGAGATGTGCAGAATCCGCATTGACTGATGTTTTTTTCTGCCCTGTCCCATGCGTTCCCGTCCTTTTTTTGGGGTTTAGGTCCGAACTGCCCGGGCATCATCAAGCCTGGTGAGTGCAAGATGGGCATTATGCCTGGCTGTTGCCTCAGTTGAAAGTTGAAATATTGGCTCGCGTTTCTCGCTTTTGAAGACATGGGTGTGTCTCAAAGTTAGAGACGTTTCAGAGATAAGGCCTCCTGCTGGTTTGCTCGGTTTTGGCTTTTTTTGGTCAGACATGCAACACACAATGTCGGCATTGTCAGAGTCCAAGGTTATATTCACAAGGCAGGCAAGATCGGTATCGTCAGCAGGCACGGCGCTTGATTTGGTTTACTGTCATTCTGATTTGATGTATGGGTTCCCAGCGTCGAGCTTGAAACCAGCACTGGCCCCGGCGGCAGGTCTGGCACTTTGACATATGAGGCCGGCTTTCCTGGACTGCAGCAAGTGCTTGACGAGCGGAGTCCTGGACTGGCTTCAATACCAGCTCATAGATTGACAATTGATTCTGGTGGCTTCTCCCAGCCTTTTGGCTTGTTTGTTCTGGAATTCTGGAGGCAAACAAGTTCTAGAATTCTGGAAACGCGACGATCCGCTGACCCCTTCTTGCCAAAAAGAGAGAGCGGAAAGGCTGGCAACGAATGATTGTTACACTGATAATCAAGCCACAAGTCATTATCATCAAACAAATCTTTAGCCTGGCTCAAACACCTGGTATATGAGCGGCCCTGCTGCTGATGCTGGGGATGTTGCTGCTGCATTCCTATCTTTGTCCAGGATTAGACCTTGGCGGTGATGCTGGGGATGCAAAAAGCCAGCGCCAGTGTTTTAGTCAAGGAGATGCTTGTACGCTTGTTAAGTCCAGATGACGCTATATTTTATTGATAAAGTGGTCAACACCCCAGCATCACTAGCGCTTTAATACCAATATATCATTGTCATTGCAGCATTTTGCTTCTGCGTGTCAACATGCTTGAGGGTTCTTCGAGCTGTAATGAGCTCAGGTTTGGATCCCCTGATCTTGAGCCCTGAAAAAGCAGCGCACGCGTACCCCGCTGCCTTGGTTTTGGTTTACTATGCCAGGCGGTGCACCAGACCACGGTGACCGGCATGGGCCAGAGCACCTGCGTGGGCATTGGCGGCGACCCCTTCAACGGCACGGGACCCAGGTGAGGTGCTTTAGGTGGGTTCGGCCTCGGCCCGAAGAGAAAACAATGGACACAATCCTCACAGAGCCCGTAAACTGGATCAGTGATCAGACCAGCCCAAGTCTGTTTGTGCTCAGTTACTGATCCAGTGGGAAGACTGTCTGAATATTTTTTTTGGTTTTCTTTTGTTTTGGTTGTTTTTTGTTTTGTTTTTGAGCTGGGCTGGTCTAGTGGAAACGCTGTATCGGCTGTATTAATTTTAGTGTCACCATGTTTGCCGCCGTCCTTTTCTATTGTTGGGACGTATATTGCTTATGATAGTTTCATATTTAGATAAACACATTTTGATACGCATGTCAATCAAACAAGTCATATCAAGCTATCATTACAATATACATTACACGCATATGACCACAATGATCGAGCCATACATATTAATATATCAAGTATATGATGTATGTATACATGTAGTGGCCACTGTTTAGGGTATACACATATTGACAAAATGTCGAACCACTCTCGAGCCGATCTTCATATTTATACCAATCTGCACCTAGACTACAACAAGCACAGCGAGGATGCAACATGAAGAAAGGGTTATATATTACATAGATAGTATCCTTATTTGCTGTGACATTGGATAAGTGTTTCCCCACAATATAGCCTAACCGGTGGTTTCCTGAAAGAGTCACGTTTAACACATACTCGCATTCATAATTGTCAAAACTAAAGACACAATGTCAATATCTCACATTTACAAGTTGGCTCTCTCACTAAACTAGGAACTTGAAGCTGTTGAGGACAATTAACAGTGCTTGCCCTTTGGAATCACAATTCCCGACAGCTATGATCATGTCCTAAAAAGTCTAGAAGTTCACAAGGGACATGTAGCCACAAGGGTTTTGACGACTTTGGCACGAGCAAACACAAACAGTGATACGTGATATACCCATAAACAGTTCCAGAACATATTGGATGAATCGGCGCAGCCCGCGCGAAGCGATTTCTGCAAGGCACCAATTTCATCGACTGCTTGGAGCGCTTTGCCCAGGATCCTGAGACTGAAGGCACGAGAGCAAGGTTTGGACGCAGTTCTTGGCCCTTGGACGGGGCTTGGCTTTTGCCGCTTGTTGAACTGTTTACCAGGATTTAAGTTGGGAGACGCAATAGATGTTGCATGCTTGGAACCAACTGGTTCGCGGAAAAACTATGGAGGGAATTCGATGCGTGTTTCTGTGTGCGTGTGCATTTGCGTGCTGCTTGCACTTGAGCCACCTTTTGCACGCAAACAAGAATCCTGGTTGAATTGCCTCCTTTGTCAGCCAACGGTGACTTCCCATGGAGTGATGCTGCACTTGGAACACAGCAGATGTTGATGTGGTTTGTTGGCTTTTTGGACTGTTGAGTCACCTCCAGTGCGCAGCATGTGGCTTCCCAACAGCACCGCTTTTCTTTCATGCTAGGTATCATCATGATTGGCGAGATCGGCGGTACCGCGGAAGAGCAAGCGGCAGACTGGATTAAGGACTGACCGCATCAGCAAAATGGCACAAGACCTGAATCGAACCTTCTGGGAGCTAGACAATTTGGCCTGCATGTGTTGGCTGCATCCTGCCAATCGGCTGGATGCCGGTTCAAGATCAGTGCTTTGGGCGGAAGGCACTCTTTTCCGAATTTTCATTGCTGCTGCCACCGGCCTCGCAGTTTTGCATGGCTGGAAAGATGTTCAGTGGTGCAGAGCATTAAACCGGACTGAGCTGGAAATGCAAAAAAACACGGAAGAGGGCCATGAGGCTCTCCTGTCTAAGCACGTTCTATGCGCGACCGGATGGGGGGAATCGGAGTGAAAGTGTGGGGAGGAGAACTGCACGCACAAGCCCGTGGTGTCCTTCATTGCGGGCATCACGGCCCCTCCTGGGCGGGGGTGCCAAGTGGGCAAACCGCAAAGGACTTGTTTCGCAACTGCAGTCAAAAACATGTCAGACCCCATGAGCATGTGTATTTTAAGCACATTTTCAGGGTTCGTTCCGGGCCAATGTTCTTCCTTGAGGATTCGTTGAAGAAACGACCCGTTGCCTACCTGCCGGCCTCCGTCCCAGGCGCCGCATGGGCCACGCCGGCGCCATCATCTCTGGCGGCAAGGGCACGGCGCAGGAGGGTCCAAGCACGCCCGTGCTTTGCGGCTGCTCCAAAAACCTGGTGGCTTCTGGATGGTGTGTCATGATTGGGCCACATATGCGCTGCTTGAAACTTTGCCTGCTGGAGTCGCTGTGAATCTTTCGTTTTGGAGCTACCCTTGGGGCAAGCTTGGTACCTGCTAGAGGTTTTTACCTTTTGCTTCTCCGGGGAAGGTTCCTTTGGGAGCACTGGTCGCATTTTGGCCAAGGCATGATAGACTATGATCGGTTGAAGGATCCAACCGTGACACGCTTCAGGACAAGATTGCAGCGCTCGAGAAAGCCGGTGTCGCAAACTCAAGTCTCGGCGTGCCAACAGCCACAGGATTGGTAAGATCCAGAGCTCATGAAGGTCTGGCTTGCAATGCTTTTGGCCGCCTTTTTTTAAGACCAACAGGCTGGACTTTCTTTGACTTTCTCACAGAACGGAGGCTGGTTTGGAGAGGCTGCTTGCCTGAGGTTTGGGTCACCAATTCTCCCGCAGAGCTGGGCACGACCATGGTCAAGGCTCATCAAGTTCAGAAGCCGAGGGCGATGCATCAAAAGCCGATTAGGGCAGTTTTGCATGTCCTGAGCAGCGCCAAAGGTTTCTTGTTTTCATTTTTCTTTTACCCTGCATCGTCAAGAACAGACTGAATTGCTGGTTGTTCCTTCGACATGTTCAGAGTCAGGACTTCAGTTTACGCTCTTAGGGAGAGAGCACCGGTGGCACCTCAAGCATGAAAGTAGTTTGCGTGCTTTTTGGTCCTGGCACGTGTGAGGCTATGGAGGCAGCTGGCAAGTGAGCAAGGGACGAGAGTGGGAGCGGGGAGCGCAGCCAACGGGCTCCAGGAGACACTAGCAAGACGACAGTCCACTTTTACAGTGTTGAGAGAACGTTGCTTTCTCCGTGGAGAAGTACTGGCCATTCTTTGCAACGGTGGAATCCCGCATTAGATGCAAATATGTCACCTTTGCATCCGGATATGTCCTGCCTGTTCATGTGGCAGATGTTTTGCCATATTTTGTCCATAGTGGGTTCCGCCGTGCCGACTCCAGAAACAAGACACTCCCCGTTTTTAAAGCAGCGCTTCTCGTGCTCGAGGGCATTCATGTTGGTCTGATGCCACTGTTGCGAGTAACAAACGCGCCCATGCCCTTTTTTTGAACATTCGCTTGAAAGCCACAGAGGTGCAAACGTGGCAAGCTCCAGACATGGCCTTCAGCACCGTCTCACGTGCCATTCGGTGCTGGTTTTGCACCGCTCGCTGCCAGCAGCACCGCGATTTGGCTCGTCTCCAGGTAGTGGAAGTCACTAAGTCACCAGGTCGCAAGACCCTTGAGCTGGGCCTCAAGGCCAGGCTAAGTTGTTGAATGACAAATGAATCATGGTGCAACACTGCGCGGGTGAAGTTAAAACGATACTGTCAGAGGTTTTCTCACATCTAAAATGGATCTTGGAACATTGCGGTAGTTGAACCCCTCTGGCAAATAGGATTGCTGCTGCAGATTGGAGTTTCGCCCGTATTATAATGACGTCAAGCCCTGACTGGTGCACCCAAACGCTCCACGTGAACTGCTTGGCTTGAGCTTATGCACTAAACACGACGCAGCTTTTAAGAGGCCTGGCACATTTGGGGTTTGCAGCTGGATGGGATTTTCGCAGTCGCGCCCTCGGTTTTTTCGCGGGCACAATCAGAGTCGTCTTCTGGGTTGTTCCGGGGAGACCCGGGATATCCCATGGGCACATCGTTTCCGAGAGGACTGAAGCTTGGCAAATTGGAAAAGGGGCGAAGTGCTGGGCGCAATTGCGCTTTGTAGTGTGCATGCTTTTTTTTGTGGTAGGCAAGAGGATTTGGAGTACTTGTGCCTGGACTGCTTGGTTTCTCCAACATGGCACTTTCCTGACTTTGTTCCGTTGGCAAACTCCGTAAATCTGGTCAGATGTATCTTGCTAGGTCAGGCAGGGCAGCGCAGTTCATCAGACACTTAGCACTTATTGCTTGGTTCATTTGTCCATCAGTCCGTCCACAGTTTCCAGCCTGCTTGGATGTCCTGGCGTACTTGCTTGCTCGTTCTGTCCGCACGGCACACAGCCAGCACAGTGACAAACCCCCGCAGCTGAAGAATCGGCAGTACGCACATGTGCAAACGCCGGCATCCTTTTCCGCAGGGCCAAACGGAACCAACCATGTAATCGTTAGGCGAGGCCTCTGAGACACGGCCACAGGTTCTTTGGTTTGAGACGGAATAGATTTCGTTGGCTTCACTCTTGTCGTGCTCGTAGGTTGTGCCCATTTTGAGTGTCTGGGACATGGACCGACGGCAGGTCGGTTCGTTCTGCGCGCTCGATCACACCGCCGCCAAATGGTAGCCCGGGCCTTGAGAAGTGGCTTTCGTGATGAGAAGTAGGGATACGTCAGGAGGCAGCAGTCAAGCAGATGGAGCTTTGGCGGCCAAGGAAGGTGCCGTGTTGTCTTCCTTCCTTTGTTCCATGGCACTGGGCATTGGCACTACTTGGCCTCACGAAGATGAAAAATCAAGATGTCCATTGCGTTGATCTCCCTCTTGAGTAGGCAAAGGCGAGGGGTGCAGTGATGAAATTGCACCTTCTGAGCGGCCCGGCGTGAGTGGCTTGTGGCTCAGGCAGCCTTAGCAGCAAGGTGCAAGGCGTTGGCCGGGCTTGTCCAGCCAGAATACCTTCTCTTTGTTCTGATGGAACCCATCTGGTGTCTGAGCTGCAGATGTTTTTTGTTAGAGCAGGATGGTTGCCTCTTTCTGCCATATCAAGATCTGGCGTCATCGGTGCAATTGAAATGTATGGGCACAGCGACTGAGAGTGAGCCATCACGGAACCATCAGCAGTATTGCAACGTGTCTTCATCGACGTTTGCGAAGAAATCCAAGCAAAGCCGCCAGCTAAGTGCGTCTGGCTTGAAGGCTTCGCCTCGGGTTCTTGCCAGGCATGGCCGGCTGCACGCTCTGCCACGCGCTGCTGCAGCTTTTTGCTGGCAAAATCCGCATTCAGGCGCCAAGCAGAGGGCACGCTATGGTCTGAGCCTCTTAACCTAAATGAGCATACAGGTCAACGTGAATCTGGCCATTTTTTGAGCCAGGGAGTGGGTCGTATGTTTGTCGTACACACATCCAAAATCTATCGGTGGCTCTGCGCCACAAATGTAAGGGGGTTGAAGACACAAGACCAGGCCTTGAAGGTAGAGTTTCTCGCAACGTGCTTCTTCTCTCTCATGACATTGGTCTGTGAGATTTGCAGCACCAACCCGCCCAAGTAAATGGTCCACCAGCTTTATGCCCATCCTGAAGTCGCCACACTTGTGAGCGCAATTCATTTGCAAGTAGTCCAGATGGAGGAATGGAATGCGCTTTCAGGTCTCTTCCAACTCTGCTTTGCGTGTACAGCTTTGCACCTGCAAACCTGAAAAAACCTGCAACAGGGCAAACCAGCAGGTAACCTGAAAAACCAGCAAAAGGTCAAGTGGCTGATTTCCTCTTGGCAAGTGGCTGATTTCCTCTTGGTTGTACCCACCAAAGCCGGGACCTTTCTCAGGTTTCCAGGTGTCCGGCGCATTTTTTTTTTAATTTTAACGTGCGCGCCCAGACCTTTACGAACTCCTCGCAGCTGCCCGTGTGGGACCTAGGCAGCAGATTCGTAGCTGGTTGGCTTTCAAAGATGGCTGTGGGTCAAAACCAATGGGATCCCATTTTGGGGTAGGTGAATTCACCACCCATTTTAGTGTATTTTAGTTGGGATTGGGATGTTCACGGGATTTTGACCCATGGCCAAACGAACGGGGCATGGCATTATTATTTCTTGTCTAAAGGACAAACCAACGAGGACATGAGCAAATTCGAAGCTTCCAAGCTAGTCGTGGAAGAAGGCAATTTGCTCTTTGATGCCTTTATCGTTCGCTGGAAAGAAGCATTCTAAATCTTATACGCTGTTTTCTTTGATCACACGCATGAGCTTACCACAAGTCATGAAGTCATGTCATCCCAGTCAACTTTGTGCGATTATTAACTCCTCGAAAGCAAAATCTGTACACAGGGGATGCACTGATCTTGATGCCATTCACCCCTTTGAATACCTGGTACGTCCTGTGCCTTTTCTCAATCCATTTACAGTGTGAGCGCTGCATAAGAAATCGGTTGGTCGAGGCCCAGAAAAGCTGAATCTCTTAGCGTCCATTGCGTCCCTGAAAGTATCCTTGTTTGCTAATAAATTCAGGGGCTCAGTTTCTTAGCAACCTTTTCGGGTAATAAAGGACTCCTTTGCTAAGAAATTCAGGGGCTCAATTTTTAAGAAAATCTCCTTTGCTAAGAAATCAGGCCCAATTCCGCAAAACAAACCACGACAATGGATTGAGGGATGGGTGCAAGACCACTACATCAAGGGTCCCGCCGAACAATTGAGCCCCTGAATTTCTTAGGAAAGGAGTCCTTCATCACCGAAAAGGCCGCTAAGAAATCGAGCCCTTGGATTTCTTAGCGAGCACTTCTCTGTTTGTTGTTTATTTGTTTCTTATTTTGTTTTTCACAAGCTTACTAAGAAATTGCACGAACAATCCAGGGGGCTTAATTTCTTAGCAGCAAATGCAGTTGCAACGTACTTGTTTTGGCAATCTCAGCCCTCAATTTCTTATACAATGAGTTCTTCTATAGTGGTGGCGCTGTAAGCTAGCATGCACTCAAGCACGTGCTTGAACTCAGGTACTGACGTGCTCATGCACTCAAACGGCACAGCACGGCACGGCACCAGGCCGCACTTATTCAAAACATCGATCTATCAACGTTGGAGCACGCACGCACACGCACACACACACACACACAGTCGCGCAGCAGAACCCGGATGCCCATCAGCAGCGCGACCAAACGCTCGTTTGAGGCACCACCTTCGCATCTGGTGGACCGGGCGTTATCCTATGAGCTTGCGGAGGACACTGATCGGGTTGCTTACCCTTACCCTAGCTGTTGTGAAGGCGCCACCTTAATTGGCGTGTGAAGCAGCCTTTAACCCGAAGCCACCAACTTAATGCACCAATGAACGTTTGCCTGAAAAGCGATGATGAGTGGCGGAGATAGTTCCGTGCTGCTGGCATGATTGATTTTTGTCAATCCTCTTCTTCAGCTGTTGGGATGTTCGGAGAGAGGATGGCCGTTGGGACCACACGGGCACCGAATTCATGAAGATGACTTTTGTTGCCACGCTAGTCCATTCATCAAATTGAGGATTGACTGCTATGCATGTTAAAATCATTCACGACTGGATGTTTCCTGGCTTTTGGCTGCTGCCGCTCGGTTGCAGCGATCAAGTTGGTAGGAGGAGGACGTCCAAGCCTGCGCCACCTTCTGCCGCCGCTTGATCTTACTCATGGGAGATGATTCCGCATGAAGCCTTCTTTTGTGATGATTCACCAGACATGGCACTAGATTCTAGATTTCAATATTACAGTAGAACAGCTTGCTTCTCGGGCGTTAATGTTTTTTCTCAAATTCCAGGTCTTTAATTGGGATCAGTCAGTCACGAAGCGGTGCTGAGGCCTGCATAATCTTCACAAAAGCAGGCGGGCTGTTGTGCATCCAGATGCAATGAAGATGGCATGGCTTGATTCATTGAGGGCTGGCGTGGCAGAGCTGAAAGATGTATCGCTGCACAACCCATGCCATCGAGGTTCGAGCTTTGGATGAGGGGCCAGGAAGCCATCCGACGCTGCACTGCGCGGGGAGACCAGTCTGCGCTGTGCGAGGCGGGAGAGCTTGCAGCCCATGGCCCGCACCCATGAGCATTGGAGCAGAGATCTCCTCCTGATTTCAAGGAACATCTTGCAACGTAGTTTGTTCAA